CATAGGTTTCACGACGTGAACTCAGAGATGACGTCTCCTAGAGTCTGACAAACCGAAGTTGTGATGATGCACCTGATGACGACTGAACTCACGACGTGAATATTTGAGATTCACAACGTGAATCCAGAAAATCAGCCCTATAAATAGAAATCAAATGGCAGCCGATTTTGGTTGCTACTTTCTTACTCTCTCACTCCCGATACCCTCTCTAGCCCTCTTGAAGCACCCTCGAAGCGCCGGTATCATCCCGACACCCGAGGCAAGTCCCGAAGCTCCGAATATCCCGAGAAGAAAAGAGTTTTCGAGCCGAAGCTCTGCCCGCGAGAAGCCCGGTGTGTGAAGATATCCCGGATTCATCGAAGAATTACCACTTGAAGAGCCGTAGTGTTGTCCGACAATCGTCTTAACAAGTGAGTGTATACTCACTTTCATCTTACACATAGATATGAAGTATTTTATATAAAATACGTGCTATGTGTATATATGTTGTTTGCTTATTTGAGATGGATGATGAAGGAATGTTTTATACAGGTTTTAAACTGTATATGTATTTTATATCTACAATAAAGAATAAGGGATGAAAGGTGATATAGATGTTATTGGCAGTTGCGCCTAATAAATAACATTGGCAGCTGTGCCTAATAAATAAGATTGGCAACTATACCAATTAGAGAATAAATGATGTTATTGGCAGCTGCGCCTAATAAATAACATTGGCAGCTGCGCCATAGGCACATATGGACTTTGTGCCTATTGTAGGGTTTTGAGCATTCTAACACTCCTAAGGTGTACATGCAACCCTAGAAACCTTGGATCTATGTTTTACTAAGATACATGCAAAATTGATTTTCCAAGGTTCTTATCCTATCTAGCATAGCATGGGGAACTTTTAAACATAAATGATAGACGAAGAACATACCTTTTGTGGTTTGGATTCCTTGAGAACCTTGTGAGCCTAGCACCTCAAGTGTGATGCCTGAAATGTCTCACACAACACCACAACACTTGGAATAACCTTGAGAGAAGTTCACTAACACCTCAAAATTGGATTGCCCTCTCTCTTGTACAAGTAGTGCACGATTTTGCTTGCATAGGGTTCTTTATATAGTTGTGGCACAAGTAGGGTTACACCAGGTAAACCCTAATTGTCATGGCTTGCCATATTCCATGATCCATGGGTTTGTAACCTCCATGGACTATCCATGGAGCACCTTATGGGTTTTAACCCAATCCATACAAACCATGGATCATTAGCCCACTATACGAGAATAGATGATTTACACAATCAACCCTATATATTTAATTAGTCTCTTTTTGATCACTTAATTAATTCCAAATGAACTCTTTGATCAATACTAATTAAATAATATTATTAATATATTAGAACTTATAATATATTAATAAATATTTATGAGTTTTTGCATAAATGTTCATTCATAAACGTTTACGTTATTTGGATTTTTGTATAAATATTTAGTTATGAACATGTATTAACATGATTAACATATTTATGAGTTTTTATATCAATGTCCACTCTTGAACATAAACATAAGCTATTTGGGTTTTTGTATAAGGGATATTTTCATAAAAAATCCTATATTTTGACTTTTTTTTCTTTTTAGACCTAAAACTTTTTTCTTTTCCAAAAAAGACCCAACTTTAAAGTGTTACATGTTATTTTAGACCTAACAGGTCACCAAAAGGGAAATTAAGTATTTTTATTTCATAAAAGACCCTACATTTTGCACTTTTTTCCAGTTTAGACCTAACAGGTCACTAAACACCTTCAAGCTTCTTTAAATTAAAATGAAATCCTAAATTTTATTTGTTATTTTAGACCTAACATGTCACCAAACACCTTCAAGCTTTTTTAAATTAAAATGAAATCCTAAATTTTATTTTGGTAATTATTATGATTATACTTAAGAATCAATAACCGCGATATACAAACACCATGTATTGATCTAAACACCACGTATACATAAGATATATTAATAAAATGAGGTAGTAGGCCAACTATTCAATTTTCTTTTTTCTACAAAAATTTCATAGTTTTCTCATTTTTGCTCATTCACCACATTCCAACCATTAATAATAATGCCAACCATCGTATTTGAATATATTTAAGCGTGTGGTATCATTTTTGTTATTTGGATTTTTAATTTATGTTCAAATGATTTCATTCCCATAATATAGTTTTATGTATTTATATGTGATGTTAACATTTTTTAAGAATGTCTTAAACTTAAATCTGATATATCTAAACAAAACTATTACGAATGGTTAGGATTAATATTTTTATGTATGTATTTGATATAACTATAACATATTATTCAATAATGGCAGGGCCGGTCCTGGAAATGTAAAATTTTATTTTGTATACAGTTTGTTAAATTACATGGTATGTTTTTTTTTCTACAAATAAAAAAAGTTGTTATTATGCTAAAAGATTCTTCCTAGCCATGTCTTATCCATGTTACCAAAAAAATATCAAATTAACATCAAACTTTTTATTAGCGGTAATAATAACATTTTTTATAAACAATATATCAAGTTTAATGATATAATATATATTCAAGATAAAGTTTAATTATATATTTTTTTACACAAAAAATAAAATTTTGCAATTCTTTTAGGTTATATTCGCTCAAAAGATAATAAATTAGATAACATTTTTTTAGTTTATACATGTATACTTTCTTTTTGATGTAGTCAAGAAGTACCTTATATATTTGGTCTTGAAAATTATAACTAATTTTAAAGTTGAGTTTATTTTAAAAAAAAACATTTTAGGTCTAAAATGAAAAAAACTGTAAAATATATGGTCTTTTATGAAAAAAAAATACCTAATTTACTTGTTGGTGACCTGCTATGGTCTGAAATAACAAGTAACAGGTAAAAATTGGGTCTTTTTCGGAAAAGACTAAAGTTCTAGGTCTAAAAAGAAAAAAAGTCAAAATATAAGGTCTTTTATGGAAATAACCATTTGTATAACATGTATTAACATGGATAATTTTTTGGACTTTTGAATACATGTTGATTTATTATGGTTATATATGTTTAGTTATGAATGTTTATTCATATTCATAACATTCACACATGTTTAATTATGAAGATTATGAATATTTATAACTTTCTCATTGTTCATCTATAAAAGTAATCAACAATGTTCATCTATGAACATTAATCGTAATCCAAATCTTTTGATGTTTGATTCTTGAATTTTCCATTCATATATATTGGGATGGACTTCGAATAAATGTTATAATATAGGAACATCATTTAATAAACTATTAATTTCTTTTTAAAATAAAATATTTAATTTATCATCATACCCTTTTGGTTCTAAACTGATCTAATGATCAAAACACGAAGAGGATTTACTCATGAAATTGATGTTTTTTCCAACTGGTCGTTGAATAGTCACCAATGACGACACTGGAGTCATTGAGAATCCATCATAACTACATTTACATATAACAAACTCCGCTTTTTGTTTTTCTTTCAAGTAAACTTTTTAAAAAAATGTTATGCATTTCATTGATGCATTATTTTTTTTTTCATATTTGTTTCACAAAAACCTGATTAAACTTTTGAAGCTCTAATTAACATAAATAAATAAAATCACAAATGACAAAATTGGTAAAAAAAAATCAAAATAAGGATAAAATGCCCATAGATGGTAGCGGAAAAAAGGACCAACTGTGATGGATCTAAAACAATGAGGAGTATTTGTATCATTTTTTCAAAAATAAAATTAAACCTTTAGAAAGAATGAAAGATGTGAAAAACATAGAGCAAAACTTTAATTTACTTGATAAGTATCTATTTAGAGTATTTCTCTTTTAGAAAAAATTGGGTTGTATCCGGTGTACAAAACATTGTATACTTAAGTTTTTTCTCTAGTCCGTCAATATACTATTTTTTTTATATCATGTCAAACATTTATCAAAAAGTTTCATATCAGGTTTCACGCAAAGAGATGGACTGTGATGGGGTTGGAACCACATTTATCAAACATTTTTTAAAAAATAAGTTTAAAAAAATAAAACAAATAAAATACTAATTAATAAGGATAAGTTAGTCAATTTTAAATGAGTTGTTCATGGAACAAAATCGAAACAAAAACCAAACCATAACTTTTGTGATCATTCCTAAAAACCATATTTATATGCATTAAAATCATTATAAGCAACCAAGTAACAGTCAAGACTTTTATCAGACTCGAGGAAGTCATGATCGATAAGTGTAGAAAAAATAATATATATATATATATATATATATATATATATATATATATATATATATATATATATATATATATATATATATCCTCTTTGAGATTGAACCCAACACCTCCTAATTAATTATTACTTTAGAACCACCAAATGGGCTAGTCCCAACTTGTTCTACAATCTAAAATCTACAACAATCCATCCCTACATAATAATAATAATAATAATAATAATAATAATAACAACAACAACAAAAAATAATTAAAATAATATAATTTCATCATAATTCATAATTCATACAGCCTGTTTATATTCTGAACGATTGGTGATACCTCTCAACACCTACTCATGACCTGTACTTAAAAAACCTATTACACACATTCACAAAATCAATCAATGGGATGCATTGTGTAATCATGAAATAGATATCAGATGATGTGTGCGTGCATTAAGGCTATGTTTGGCGTACAAGCTGAAAAGCTAGTTTTTCAATAAAAAGCTAGCTGATAGCTGAAAAGCTAGCTGATAAAAAATAACGTTTGGTAAAACTAGCTGAAATATATAAAATTACATAAAAGGACATGTAAGAGTATGTGTTTCTATAATTAATTAAGGGGTATATTTTGAAAATTTTAAAAAAACTCCTAAAAAGGTAGTCTAAGTAGCTTTTCAAAAAGCTAGCTTATAAGCCACTATTTGGCTTACCAAACACAACAACATAAAAAAGCTCGAAAAATAAGATAGCTTTGACGCGCCAAAAACAACCTAAATGCAGAATATAAAAGGAAACATTTTAGAAATATCTGTGTGTATCACAAGCTGATACTCAAGACTGATTGTATACACATTGTAAGCGTCGTCATCATCTTCATCTTCCTGCATCAAAAGTAATAAATCAAATCGAACATGCTAATAGCAATTACAAGCTCAACACTGCCATCATCCATCCCTATTTCCATTTTAATTGTTAGTATTAAAATTCAACTCCAACAAGATTTACTTTTCGTTTCCTCCTCCCTTTTATCTTCAACAGAACCCATTCAGTATTAACCTTCACTTTCAAACAACTAACCAAAGGCCATGAACCACAAATTTCAAGCTTATAAAAAGACTGCCCAATTATGTACAAATAATATTATTCTTGGTTTCATGTAATAATTATCTACATTCCAACTCATCAAGTCTTTGCAACATATTTCCTTAAATCCTTGTATATACTTACCATGCTCGATTTCGTTGACTATTTGTTGGATTCAGTACATTAGGAACAAAAAGAAAAAAGGGTTGAGATCTTACTGAATGATCTGAAGCAACCTCTATTTCTGTTAAATTCCCAAATCTTTCTGCAGAATCATCGTCCCCATTGACACTCGAACTCGAAGGTGTCTCGACGATTTCTGCAGCAGCAGCAGAGTGTTCCTGTATGGAAACCGAAGCAATTCTTCTTCAACACAACTCAAAACCCCGGAGTGGTTATCAATCTGACCAAGTGTAGGGTTAGGGTTTTAAGATCCAGAGGCTTCCTTCAACTTTGAGGTTGAAGGTTGTGATGCTTCATTCTTCCCAATTTACTGTTTGCATACCACAATATAGTTATAGTGTTTTTAAACCAAATATTTTCAATAAATAACAACTTATGATTTATCAAAATCAACCAAAAACTCAACTGAATAAGAGCTTAACAAACAATCAAACAAAATCTTACGAGAACAGCAACTAGACAAGAAACTTACGCTTTTAACCAAGAGATACTTCTAACGCACTTTTATCAAGGCTACAAGAACTCAAATTATACAACCAAAAAGACTCATCTAAATGCAAGAACAGCGAAAAGAGGGAAATCAAAGAGAAAACCCTATAATGTGAGAGTTTGAATATCTTCCACTTTTATAGCGTATTTTGCTTCTCGTGTAACTTTATTTTGAAAGAAAGAGTTTGGGACGGAATAAAGCATATTTCTTCAAAATACTGCTCCACTTGACAATGTCAGTCCTCAAACTCTTTCCTGATTCACTTTTAACCCAACATCTTTTACACTTCTCACTTTATACCCTAAAAATAAAAAAAAAATCAAAACAAAAAAAAATCAAAATCTTATGTTGTATATGATTTCGGAAAATTGTTTTCAGTTTTCAGTTTTCTTGGAAAAAAAACTTTTAAAATGAGAAGAATTTTCATTTTCAGATTTCATTAGAAAATTTAGAAAAGATGTTTGGTTAAAATTTTTGAGTTTTCATTTTCCGTTTTATAAAATTTGAAAACATATTTGGTTTTGTAATTTCTATCGGTTTTTGTTTTTCAATTTTTGTATTTTTAAATATGGTTAATATTGTTTTTCAAAAAAAAAAAAAAAAAACTACCCCCACCCACCCTATCCTCGCTCCTCACCATCACTGAACCCCTACCCTCGCACCTTTGTTCGCTCACCATCACTAAACCCCTACCCCTACACCTTTGTTCGCGCTCACACACATACGCACAAACATGCATACCTATGTTCATTTTATTTCTTTAACTCTTTAAATCTGCACTCAACTCCTAACTATATGCCTCTAGACGTGGCATCAAAGCAAGATATGTATTAATTGCTTTTACAAGTACAATTATATATTTTCATTTTGTAAGATTATCTTTTTATTTTATGTATTATATGCAAACTTAAGAAAAAAACATAAGTTTGAGCTCTTACAAGTTTAATAAATGAAAATGTTAATTGAATGGAAGTATCATCACTTTGTTAAAAACAATAATAAGTTACAAAAATTAATAAAATAATATTTTGGTCGTATGTATTACATAAGTTACTTTCCAAATCTTTGACAAATAGAAAACAATTCCAGTTCTTTTGAAAAAATGTGCAAACCCAAACCAAATAGAAAAGAGATTCCATTTCATATCAGCCAAACAAATAACTAATTGCAATTTAGTCAGATTTGCTAAAAAAAGTTATTATAGTTAATAACAAAGGCACATTAACAGTAACCATCATAAAGATGCAAACCACAAGTAGCAAAACTCTTAACATACTCGATATAATCAGGATCTGGCCAAAAACATTAATTTGAATTCCCCATAAGAGAATCACCAAAATGAAGACAAAAGTATTAAAGTAAGAAACCTAAACCATATCAAAGCATTGCACAGCTTCGGAAATATGCACAAAATGGTAGAATATACAAGGAAACGATTTTGTGAGCTTCAAATAACAAATCATATTCATATACACAAATTGATTTTTGAACATAATCTTCAAGTCATTTAGAAGAGGCGAGCCAGCATGTCATTAGTGGGAAACTTGATTACCAAAGTTGCTTTGTTTTCTTCTTTCCATTCCATCTTCTCTCTCTCCAAATACTCAATAACCTACAATCGTATTCAATATTCATCCCACACCACATAATAGTTGATTAAAATAATATCCTTTAAAATATAATTTCATAATTAATTCATACATAACATACCGTCCTCTTAATGTTTGAACTCCTCTCAGATCCAGTCACAACTTTCAATTCCCCCAGAACTGTACAACATCATAATAAATCCATTGATTAAAATATTATATATATATATATATAATTATGTTTATGTTTATGTTTATGTTTATGTTTATGTTTATGTATGGATGATGAAATAGATATTATTATTATTATTACCTCCACCAAAGGCAGCTAATGACACGAGAGGTTTCAGAAGCTCCATTGCATGATCCACATGCAGTCCACGTAGACTGATTCTCATCAACTCAAACTTTTGGTTACTGCACAAACAAACAAAATACTCATAACCCAAATACATATAAACGGGTCTCGGGTCATATCATATGGGTCGGGTTTAGTTTTCACGGAAACCTACCCATTGATTTTAATCCGCAAGATTGTTTTGTCATTCTCTTCTCTCCATGCAATGTTTTCTGTCTCTAAGTACTCAACAATCTATAACAATCCATCCCCCACATAATAATAATTAAAATAATAATATCCTTTAAATATAATTTCATAATTCATACATACCGCCTTTTTAGATTTTGAAGATCCGGTGATAACCCTCAACACGTGCTCTTGACCTGCTTCACTTAAAATACCTATTTCACACACATTCACAAAATCCATGAATGGATGCATTGAATGATGAAATAGATATTAGATGATGATGATGATGATGCTTACGTGCATTAAGTGCAGCATGTAAAAGGTTAGTTTTTAGAAGTATCAGTACGTTTTTCACAAGCTGATATTCTAGACTGACTGTCATCACGTTGTGAATACTATCATCAACATCATCATGTCCCTGCATCAAAAGTAATAAATTAAGTTGTTGAGTATTAAGCAACTAAACATGCTAATAGAAATTACAAGCTCAACAGTGCCATCATCCATCTCTATTTCCATTTCAATTGTTGTTAAAATAAATTCAACTCCCAAGAATCCACTAAGATTTAATTTTCTTTTCTTCCTCCCTTTTATGTTTAACAGAGCCCATTGAGTATTTATTTAACCTGATTTGTACTATTATAGTTTCACTTTCAAACAATTAAGCAGCCATGAACCACAAATTTCAAGCTTATGATTAGACCAATTATGTACAAATGATATCATTCTTGGTTTCATGTAATGATTATCTACATTCCAACTGATCAATTCTTAGCAACATATTTCCTTAAAACGTTGTATATGCTGGTTTCCATTAATCTTAGCTTTAAAGCTTCAGATCTGAAAGTATTCAGTACTGCTACACAACATGGAAACAAAAACCTAGGGGAACGAAAGCAACAAAAAGGGTTGAGATCTTACTGAAAGATTTGTAGCACCCTCTGTTTCGTCAACGATTTCTGCACCAACAACGTGTACCTGTATGGGACGCGAAGTAGTTCCTTCTGAAACACCATTCAAAACCTTGGATTCTTCATCAATCTGACCACGTGTAGGGTTAGGGTTTTGAGATCCATCCGCTTCCTTCGACTTCGAGATTGTGGGTCTCTGTCTCTTCTTCATTCGATGTTGCATTCCTCCCAGTTTACTGTTGCATACGACAAAATCAACCAAAAATTCGACTGGTTAAGAACTTAACAAACAATCAAACTCAAACTCCTACAAGAACAGTAACTTTGACAAGAAACTTACGCCTTTAACCAAAAGCTACGTCCAATGCTAAACGGATAGGTGCGGCAAAGAGCTCGGTACCTCCTACGTTGAGCTCAGAATGCCATGGATACACCGACAAGAACTCCGATTACACTACCAGAATGCAAGAACAACGAAAGGGGGAAATCAGCGAGAAAACCCTAAAATGTGAGAGCAGTTATGTGAAATGAGCGCGAATATCTTCCAGTTCAATAGCACATTGTCCTTCTCCCCGTACAGTAGCACGTATTTCTTCAAAATACTGCTCCACTTGACAGCTTCAGTCCTTAAACTCTTTCCTGATTCACTTCTAATCCCTCGTCTTTTAGACTTACCACTTTATACATTTAAAAAAAAAACCCCCAAAAACTTGTTTTTCCAAAGCAAATTGAGAAAGGATTAACATAAACAACCCTTCACACAAAACATTGTCTTGACTTAAACTCGATGATTTGATGAAAATGTTTGCTTTTTTCTTTAACGAATCAACTCTTACAACGAATTAACTTTTACAATTTTAATTTCATGAGCAACCTTTTCACAACCTAAATACATGTCTATTTTTATGTGGTGTGTTTGTTCAAGGAGAACAGGATTCAAAACTAATTGGATTTCCTAATTATTATCATCCATAATAATAACAAGAATCAACTTTTTCAAATTTTAAATCTTTTAAAAGCTTTAGAGCCCATGAAATATCACAAGTAAGAGAAGTCATAGACCTATATTCATATTCATTGAAGGATCTAGATATATTGTTTTGCTTCTTACTTTCCCAATTAATCATCGAACTTCCTATAAACAAGGAGTACCAACTACCAAGTTATAGATGTTATAGCATTGACACATTTACCCTATCAGCCTCAACATAGGCTCGAGGACTTCAAGACGCATACATGTTAATGTTGACTCCATTTCCAGGAGAACATTTAAAATATCTAAGAACTCTCAAAGCTAATCATACATGAGAAACCCTTTGACTATGCATAAATTAGCTTAAAACAGAAAAATAAATGTTTTGATGAGTTATAGTCAAAATAAAATAATTTCCCAACAAGTTGTTGACACTTAGTGATATTACTAAGTAACACAACACTAGAGTTGACACCTTGTAAAGCACCAATATAATTTATATCCAATGGTGTTGATGTTGGTTTGCACCCGAGCATCCCAAAATCATACAACAACTCTAAACAATATTTAAGACGTGAGAAACAAATTCCATGTTTCTAAACCAAATATTTTCAACAAATAACAAAAAAAAAAAATTAAAATCAACCAAAAACTCGACTAATAAAGAACTAAACAAGCAATCAAACTGAAGCTCTTACAATAACAATAACTTGACAGGAAACTTTGCCTCTAACCATGATCTATTTTTCACACACTCTTATCAAGGCTACAATAACTCATATATTACACAATTAGGAGATTGATCTGAATTCAATAACAAAGAAAGAGGGAAATCACTAGAAAATCCTAAAATATGAGAGCTACGTATCGAGTTATGTGAACTGAGCTCGAATATCTTTTGGGTTATAGTGTTATAGTGTATTGTCCTTAACTAATAAAATAACGCATGTTTCTTCAAAATAATATTTAACTTGACAGTTCCTAGCCTCAAACTCACTTCTAACCCAACATCTTTTAGACTTCACACTTTATACCCTGATTTAAAAAATAAAAAAAAATAATAAATAAATAAATAATAATAATAATAATAATAATAATAATAATAATAATAACTTAGGATGCATTTAGAAAAAAATTCAAAAAAAAAATGTACAGTTTTCATTAGAAAATTTAGAAAAACGCATTTCATTAAAACTTTTGAATTTTTATTTTCTGTTTTAGAAAAATTAAAAAATGTGTTTGGTTGTGTATTTTCTATGACTTTCCATTTTCCAATTTTTGTTATTTTAAATAGGGTTAAAATTGTTTTTGGAAAAGAAAATATTGATTTTTTTAAAGTTGTTATAAATAATATTAGGGATGTGTGGGTGCGTTATGGTTGGGGGTATGTGGTGGGTGGGTAAGGTTGAGACTGTGTAACATCCTAAAAATCAAGGTAAATTTTTTATTTTTCAAAACCAAACCATAAACCATAAATGTTTACAAAACTTAGTTTCCAAAAGTCAAAATCACAAATCAGAGTATCCCAAAATCAATCCCATAAAAACTCAAGGATCTGCACGATCAAGCCTTCGCCTTGTCCCGATCATCTGAAGTACAAAGAACTTAAATTGTAAGTCAAAGCTTAGTGAGTTCTTCCAAATTACCACACACAACCAAACAGATAACAACATGCAAATATGAGTCTTTAGCCTGACTGGACCGCCTCGCAGGGCCTACAGCCTATCTGGACCACTCTTCGGGCCTTCGGCCTGACTGGACCGCCTATCGGGCCTTCAGCCTATCCAGACCGCCCCAAGTATCTTGGCCTTCAGCACAAAGCAGGACCGTCTCAACCCAATACAACCATAACATGTCGACATATACAATAACAAATAATAACCATCAAACACAGATAATCATACAGATCTACCAGTCTAACACATACTTAGTGAACACAGGTAATCAATTATATCTACCAATTTATCATATAACCAACATAACATCAATCCAATATACCAGGATAGATAATCTAGTGGGCCAACATTGGTACCTTCGACCCACAAGTACAGTGAGGAAACACATCACGGTCTGAAAATACAGTTGAACAGATCGCAACTCCAACTGCTGACTCTACATGTCACATATTCAACAAACAATGACTTAGTCTCAAACTACTGCTCAAAAAACCCAAAATACCCCTAACTCTAACTTCGTCAAAATTCTAGTCAAAGTCAAGTCAAAAAGTCAAAGATTCCTTATAGGCTGAGTCTGTCCTATGTACTTCTCTCTACGCCCAGCGTAGAGGGTGCCTTTCCAAATCACGGGTTCAATCCCTGGTACGCGCAGCGTACTTCCAGGTACGTCCAACGTACCAGAGCTAAATCCCTAATTTGTCATTAAGTTCTTATTTCATTAATCCAAAGCACCAAACTTCATATCCAGATAAAAAAGGACGTCTTAATGTATAAAGTCTCTGACTTTATCCATTTGCATGCATACAAGAAGGTAAAAACTTAAACCCGTAGTCCAAAAGTCATCCAAAGTCCCAAAACTCTTTCATGGCTTAATGAGAGTGTCTATGCTCTCATTTTATGAATCTAAGAGCTCAAATGTAACATTCCGTTTAAAATAAATAAATTAAATAGATAAAATTAAATAAATAAATAAAATAAACCCTAAAACCCTGAGATGTATATTTTTTATATTTTCTTTTAGCCCTAAATCCATAATAATTTATCAGTGTTAGCCATAGGAGTTAAATGTTATAATTTTGGGAATTTGGAGTCTATTTTGTAACATCTGGACCTGAAATGTTAAATATTTTGTTGAGGAGGGGTTGTTGGGTAATTAATGGATTTATATTGAAAATGAACCTTGGGGGAGGGACTGAAAGTGTCATATTAGGCTTAAGTATGGAGTTGGATACGGGAGCTTAAACCCGTCACCCCTCCCTTCCCCTCGTCTATTATACACCCGAAGAAAACCCTAACCCTAAACTTATTCTTCAGCCGCCACCCTTATACCCCTTCATAACTCCAGCCGCCGGCACCTCCTAGTTGCGCATGGACCGTCGAGCACCACCACCGTTGTTCTCGTTGTCAATGAAGACGAGGTTGCGAGCCCAACGTCGTGTTAATGGATAGGCCGAAAGAACGAAGGCATGTGGTTTTCATTGTTGTTGTTCTCGGTTAAGAGTCGTGCCACCTCTCTTTCTCTATTTCTTTTCTGCTGATTCGTCGCCGATGTCGCTCCGACGGTTATTCTGCTTGCCATCATCTCTTCCGACTGTCACACGCCACCACGAGGGTGGCTGAATTTGGGTACGTATTTCGGTGATTGGATGCTCATGTTTCATGTACGTGTGTTGTGGTTGCATTTCGTAAAGTGGTGGGTGTGTCTTGGCTGACCGGAAGTCGAAGAAAACCACCATGGCAACCAACCATGGTGGTTGCCGCCCTTTCTGTTTTTTTTTTTTGCCACCACCAACCACCGTGTGTGGGTGGTTGTGTGTGTGTAATATGGTGTGTGTGCGTGGTTTATGAGTACATGTTGTATGGGCATTCTTGGCCGAAAAATTAAAGAAAAACCCACCACCACCACCGTGAGGTGGTCGCTGCCACCTTCTGCCACCATCTTGGTGGTTGTATTAGGCATTTTTCCTTGTTTTTTTGGTGCTAATGTGTATGTGTGTGTGATGTAGGAACTTTTATGTGTGCTTGGATTGTTGGAATGATCACTTGAAACCGTCGTCGCCATAGCCGTGTGTGGGTGGCTGCCGCCTCGGACCGCCGCCGACCACCATTGCCCAAGGTGGCATTGGATGGTGCTCGACTTATTAAACATTAAATTACCTAAACAGTTAACTTTAGCCCGGCTTATTTGGGCTATTGATTGGATTATTATTATACCCGAGAATGACTAAGTCAACCTTAATCAGTCCTACCCTTAGGTGATTAGGTCCTTAATGGGTTAAGTGTTCTCACTTAACCCTAATCGTCATTTTATGTGAAACCATAATCGTCATTTCATGTGAGGTGGTCACTGTTGCAAGTGACTATGACCTGTGATCGGGTATTGACTCAAGTATCTTCCTATAGGTTATTGGAAGTGAGTTGAAGTTGGTAGAGTCCTTCATTGCTACAATGGTTACCTACGCGTATATCGAGGTGAGTTTTGCCTCACTATACTCGTGGGTCGAAGGCACCAATGTCGGCTCACTAGTTTTGGTTATCTGTTAGTAAAGGGATACCTTAGGGACTGTATATAGTCATGTAGGATAGACTGAGACT